TCTTCGATTATCTTACTCGTGTCTTTTCTTATTTCTTCTTTTTTTTTTTTTTTGTTGTCTCGCATTCGCTTTCGTATTTATTTTTTTTTCGTTATTTATTTATTTATTTTTTTTTCGTTTTCCTTTAATTGTAATACTTACAGTGTACGATTAAGGTTAATCTTACGTGTCGTTTTAAAAGGTATAGTACGGAGCATGGTACAGATTCTTTGGAGTATCGTGCCATCTCTCGTTTTTTTTTTTTTTTTTTTTTTCTTTTATCAACATTCTTCCCTAAAGTAAAACCTCCACGCGTATTCAATGCCGATCGTATCGCGCAGTCTGTCGGTCGGAATAATAATTTTAGTTAATCGCTACGAAACGGTTCTCGCTCGTTTCTCGCTTTTGCTTGGAAACCATTTCCTCGCATTCCCCGACTATGTCTCTATACTCGATAATATTAGTAACGCTAAAAATCGCGGTCCTTCGAATTGGACGTAGGCGTCGTTGGTACCACGCGGGATATGACCAATAATAAATGATCGTCGAATTCGAATCGTCTCCGCCTCGCTTCTTCTTCTTCTTCTTTCTTTTCCTCTTCTTCTCTTCTTTCGTCGACGCGGAATCGTCCATCGAGCGTCGATTCTCCTCTTCCTTTTCCTTCTCCTTCTCCTTCTCCTTCTTCTCCTCCTTCTCCTTCTGGTGCTGCGTTTCTTCGCTTTCGAACGTAAGAGTAAGAGAGAAGGGAGGTTGGAAGGAAAAAGACTGGTTACATAATTCGTTGGTCTCCTCTCGGATCAACACGATCGAACTCGAACGATAGATAGGTTCTTAACAACGCATTCGTTCTACTACGTTTGTCGTTCGTTCATCGATGAAAATTTAATAATGTCCTGAGCTGATGTTTGTCGTTAACAGCCTTTTCTTTTCTCTTTTTTTTTTTTCTCTTTTTTTTTTCGATTTTTTTTTCTTTTCTTTCTTTGTTTTTATAGAGATGGTTGCCCAGCTGATAGAATTGACTTGAAGTTGCCTATACTGGAATCGCGTACGATGATCCTCGTTGTGCTTTTTTTTAACGGTTGGTCTCCGAACGAATACGAATCGCGGCTTGGAATCGCGCGTTTGTTTCTTCTCCACAGCTTTCGTCACAGCCGGGATAGCGGCCCGGGATTCCGCTTCTCTGCTCTCCATCGACGGCCATCGGAGCCGAAGAAGCAACGAAGAATCGGAGCAGACTTCCGATGATCGAACTGCTACTCGTGTGAAAATTCGATGATGCGACGACGAGTCATTTGGAACAGTGCTCTCTCTCTCTCTCTCTCTCTCTCTCAACACGCGCTCTCGAGATGAGCGCTCTGCCTTCTTCTCGCTTGCCGCTGTCGAAATTGATGGAACTCGGCCTTCATCGCTTGCACCCTGGCCTCGATGTTGTCCCTGCTGTACCTCGGCGTCTGATGATGAACCGTGTGCACCTGGTGGGGTACGTGGGGCACGTGCACGGCGTGGATCTGGTGGACGGGCGGCCTCTCCTCCCTCGTCGGGGTGGAGGCGGANAAGCGGCCGTCGGCCGCCCGCGAGATCTTACCCAGTGGTCGACCGCGGCACGAGTCCGGTGTGCCCGGGTTCAGTATCTCCCTAAGGAGATTTAGACCTGGTACTCGGCTTTTTCTAGGTCTACAGGGTAGGACAAAACGAGCGTTAGACCATTCGTAGTGGCGTTTTTTCGGCTGGGCGAACAGCGATCAACCCCGTCCAAGGAATTTTTCTGCTCTTCGTGCTACACATTTTTTTTCGTCTTTTTTTTCTTTCCTTTTCTCCTCGACGGTACCGAATTAAACAACGACGACCGATATGCGTGATTTACGTATATATATATGCGTGCATATGTTTGTATCGTTTGAGATTAAAGAGGGAACGAGAAGCAATTTTTTTCTTTTTTTTTTTTTTTTTCCTTTTCAAAATCGTGTCGAAGTTTAGAATTCGGTTCCGTCACGAGGAGAACGAGCACGATGTTGTTTGAGAAAATTTTCCAAATTTTTTTCGACCTCCTTCGACGATGTTGAACGACCGCCCCGATACAACGATAAAGAAACGTGCAACAACGACGTAAAAAAAACACGCAACGTTAACACGAACAAAAAGGAAAAAAGAGGAGCTAGGAAAACAAAACAACGAAAAGGCAGACGTACAAGTTAAACGTACAATATAATTATTAAGAATTAATTACGTGTACGTAAGTATAATAACGAATAATGGATGCAGGCAGGGAAGACATGCGCATGCGCATTCCGGTGCACGAGTGGTCGGGCGTGACGTGGATCGTGGGTGGGTGGGCGTTGCCAGTGAGTGGAATTTTCTTTCTTTTTTTTTTTTTTTTTTTTCCAATTTCTTTTTTCCATGTAATTTTTTTCTTTTCTCTTTTTTTTTTTTTTTTTATTTTTTTTTTTTTTTTTTTTTTTTTTTTTTCCAATTTTTTTTTTCCCTTTAATTTTTTTTTTTTTTCTTTTTTTTTTTTTTCTAATCTTTTTCTTTTTTTTTTTTTTTTTTTTAAATTTCTTTGCCCAATTTTTTTTCTTTCTTTCTTTTCTTTTCTTTTTTTTTTTTTGTTTTATTATTATTTTTTTTTTTTTTTTTTTTTTTTTTTTTTCAATTTTTTTTTTCCCTGTTAATTTTTTCTTTTTCCTTTTTTTTTTTTTTCTAATCTTTTACTTTTTTTTTTTTTTTTTTTTTATTTTTTTTTCCCCTTTTTTTTTTTTTTTTTTTTTTTTTTTTTTTTTTTTTTTTTTTTTTTTTTTTTTTTAGTGATAGCAATCGTGGATTTAGGTGCTCCGAAACTCGTCACCTTTTCTCCTCCTTCGGGTCCGGCAGCAAGGAAAGATGGGGGAGAGAGAATGTTGTAACACAACGATTACATTCACAAAAAACAATATCGTGGCGATAATGATAAGAAATATAACGCTAAATAATCGAACGTTACTTCTAGGCGGTGATGTTAGGGAGCAAATAGATAACGCGCGTTCCTGTCGGGATCGCGTCTCGCGTTCGTCCAAGACTCGTTCTCCTTCGTCGCTCGTGCATTCGCAACGGAATAGACTTAAAGAAGGTGGGGGAGGAAAAAAGAAATAAATAAATAAATAAATAAATAAATAAATTAAGAAATAAATAAAAAGAAATAAAAATAGAAATAAAATAAAATCGTTAAAAACCGACGAACGGATGGGAGAAGCAGTCGAAAAAAGAAGGGAGCGAAGCAAAAGAGCAACGCAACACAGGAGTAACACGGATAAATTAAGTAAAGAGAACGGATCATTGTGCAACAATGATACAGATATATATAACAGGTAGGAAGAAACGTGTGTGTATGTGTAAATAAATGTGGTTCATCGGAAAGAAGGAATTCGAGAAAGGATCTGTGTTTATCGATCGATAAGGAAGGGAGCAGAAGTCCTCGTACAATGACGAATAATCATCGTGTAAGGAGAGAGAGAGAGAGAGAGAGAAAAAAAAGTAACGATCAACAATGAATAATAAAATACAATGAAATATATCGTGTTTTAGATGCAGTTTTTAGAGGGTAGAGCCGCAAGGAGAGCGGCTTACCTATCTTTTTCTTTGCTTATATCCGTGTGTTCGAGTGTGAACGCGTCTTTTTACGGCTCGTCTAAAATCGATAAACTGGAAACAACAAAAAGAAAGATACAAGATATTTGGGTTAAAAAACTTCGATCGAGCGAAAGCACCCTGATTACTATCGCACCATCAATTTTGTTCGTGCATTTTCTTTTTTGCGTTTCTTTTTTTTATTTTCTTTTCTTTTTTTTTTTTTTTGCTTTCCTTTCCTTTTCTTTTAATTCCTTTCTTTTTCGTGTTTTTTTTTTCCATTGTCATGCTCGGTGAAGCGTGACATGCTACGTGTGAGTGAAAAAAAAAATGTCGAAGAAGAAGAAGAAGAAGAAGAAGAAGTAGCAAACGGGTCGATCCCACGAGGATTCCCGAGTAATTTCGTGTGATCGAGAGATCGTAACGTGAATAGAAGAAAGAGAGAAGAGAGGTGAGTGAAATTGACGAACGAGACGAACCGATCTTGCGACCAATCGAGAGATTCACAGGCGTTCAAATCGATCAATTTTTTCGGTTATAAAAAAAAAAGAAAAAATCGCGAGCAAGATCGGGCCGACCGCGTTCATTCAAAAAAATGAAGCAAGCTAAATCTTGAATCGAGTCTTGAATTAAGAATTATATTTCAATTATTGTGGTGCATCTACGTATAGAGAAATGTTGCGCGAGATCCATCAAATTTCAAATATATATATATATATAATACGAGCAAAGAAATCACGAGCGATTCTCGATTGTTTTTAAAATATATACATATACGTAAGTAAATAATAAAGTAGATTTTATCGATTATGATTAATGTTACGTTTACAGATTCATTTCAACTTTTGCCGAAACAATCGAGAACTCGCTCGTATCTTACGATTATCGTCTATCGATTGAGCGAGTGCGCGCAACGAGAGACGATCGGATGAAAAATAAGTGCGAGCGATCGTGAGTAAAAATGGATGACGAAAAGGAGGCGAGGTGAGGCGAGGCGATAATATGAATCGAGTGTCTGCAAATAGTAGTAGATAGAGACAAAGAGAAAGAGAGAGAGAGAAGAAAAAGAAAAAAAAGGAAACAAAAATGGACGAATGAATAAATTTCTGTATGATACGTGTGACTGTTGGCGAGGCGAGATCGAGAATGAGATAATAACGGCGTGTGTAATAACGATTAGAAACTAGTGAGGATAATTTTGAAATTTAATTTGCTCGATTACCAACCTCGAACCAATCGCGAAAAGGAAGCGAATAGCAACGTGTTCGACGACACGCTTCAAGCAAGGTCGAACGAAATCTCGAAATTTCGAGAGGAATCGTTCCTCAACCCGCTTAAAATTCTAATAATATTCGTCTTCGCATCTCGTCTCGTATCTATGTACTCCCTAAGTCCGCCGAACGAAGGTATTTAGGGTACTGACTGGATGGTTACTAGTGTGACTCCTAGCTGTATTGCCTGTATTGCTGATCTCATCTACAGTCATGACAATCATCCTAAGTAGTAGTAGATAGTAGTAGATGGTAGTAGTAGTAGTAGTAGTAGTGGTAGATTAATAGGTCCTAGCAGGTAACATTGCAGAGCTGTAGTCTCGCACAGTAGGTAAGTAGCGGTAGTAGTAGTAGTAGTAATAGTAGTAGTGGTAGTAGCAGTAGGTAGGTTGTTGTTGTAGTAGTAGTAGTAGTAGTAATAGTAGCAGTAATAGCGATAGTTCTGGTAACGGACAAGTCCTAGTGGCAAGTGGCAATTTACTCGCTCGATCGATCAACGACGAACCACGAGTATCGATCGAATCGGTTGACCGATCGATGGATCGCTTGGCAATATTAGGTTGTTTTAGACACACAGAGAAACACATACACGTATACCGTCGGCGAGTTGTTATTTTCGTGGTCTCGGGAGCAACCGTTGTCTCGGGTACGTAGTAGTAGTAGTAGTAGTAGTAGTAATAGTAGTAGTAGTAGTAGAGTGATGGTAGTAGCGGTAATAGTAGTAGTAGTAGTAGTAGTAGTAGTAGTAGTAGTAGGAGTAGTAATAGTAGTAGTAGTAGTAGAGTGAAGGTAGTAGCGGGAATAGTAGTAGTAGTAGTAGTAGTAGTAGTAGTAGTAGTAGCAGTATTAGTAGTAGCAGTGATAGTACTTGGTTTATTTTCAGTGTGGCTAGCGGAGGTTAGGCTTACTGTTCCGCCTCTCTATGATAAACACGCTCTCGTAATCTCGATTATCGAGGTGGAGTGCGTGATGGTCACGATCACGGTTCGGGGGGGCCTGCTCGTGGACCGGCTCCGAGGTGGCAGTGGCGGGGGTGGTTACTTGCGTAGGAAGTGGTGGTTGATGAAGAGGTTGTGGTGGTGGTGGTGGTAGTTGCGGATTCAACGGGCTGCAACGGGTCAGCGTCGAGACTGACTCGCCGCACGCGTTTAGATTTGTCGACCTACAGAAAACACAGAGAGAGAGAGGAGGACAAGAGACGCCCACGTTTTTCTTTTTCTTTTTTTTTTTTTTTTCATTTATAACTCTTCTTCATATTTTTTTCTTTTCTTTTCTTTTCTCTTTTTTTCCCCTTCCCCCTTTCTTCCTGTCTTTTATCTATTTATTTATTTATATTATCACCGCTTTCTAACCGCGTTTCCTCGTCCGTATTTCCCTCGTTCTATTTCCGCGGTTCATTCTCTTCGTAACGAGAAACGATAGGAGAGAAAGAGAGAGAGAGAGAGAGTGTGTGAGAAAGAGAGACAGAGAGGAATGGAGGGAAAGAGAGAAAGAGAAAAAGGAGAGAAAAAGGGATAGAGAGAGAGAAAAAGAGAGAGAGTTAAAGTCAGGTCCACTTTTTTCGTTTGAAACTGTAAGATTATTTTTTTTCTGTAAAAATAGTTATCAACTCTTTCCCTCCAAAAACCCCTCGATCTCCGGGCAAAAGTCTGTAACTCGCGTTGGCTCTCTTCTGATCCTTGCTCTGGTCGCGATCCTCGAACGTCAGCTCCGTATTCGTATATATATATATAACTCGTGTATATACAAACACACACATATATATATATACTACGAATGCAACTACGAATCCGGAGCTGGAAGCGATAATCTTGGCAGTGGCTGAACCGTCCAGCCCGTTCTGGATAATATCGGTGTACAAAATACAAACGTGCGTTGTCCGCTCGCTTCGTGTATAACATTCGGGAAAGAAGCGTTACGAAGCGATACGTTTGTGTTTGCACGAGGGGAGACCCGAGCGCGCGTTACTTGTGTAAATCGAGAGAGAGAGAGAGAGAAAGAAAAAAGGGCTTATCGCGAGAACCGATTAGATCCAAATCTAATATTTATCTAATCTAAGCGAGCATCGATCATCGCGTGTCAACGTGGAAATATTAATTAATATATCTCTATCCGATATATGTATATTCTTCTATACCGTTTACCATTGCGACCAATGGAGAATTCTCGCAATAAGCCCGGTGAAAATCGCGAGAGGATAAACGATTGGACGTATCAACGATTCGTGGAGAAAAAGATTCGTAAAAACAAGCCATGAAAAAGTGATAAAATGGAGGGGAAGGGAGACGAAATGGGCGCGAATGAGAATGAAGGAGGGAAGATAAACGAACGGAGGAGAAACAGAGAGAGAAAGAGAAAAAAAAAACGGTAGAAACGGCTGGTTAGGAGCGGGGAAAATTGGATGCGAGGACAAAAAAAGGGGGAGGGGAAGAGAGGAGCGGAGTGGGGCGGGAGGAAGGAGGAAAGAAACGAAACGGCTCGTCGCGGGAAACAAAGGCGACATACGATCCAGAATAGGCATCACTGCAGTCGTATTGTGGACTTTTGGATGCCACGAAATGGAAATCATAATAGTCGGCTGAGTAGTAGTAGTAATAGTAGTAGTAGTAGTAGTAGTAGTTGTAGTAGTTGTTGTAGTAGTAGTAGTAGTACCCGCTATATATATAAACGTTATACGTGCAGTCCGGTTGGCGTAATTTCAAAGCTGAACACCTTATCGTCGGTTACATCGAGGCCGATTTCACGATATACGTACGTACGATATAGGTTGGGAAATGCGACGACTTGGGCGAGCCATTTCCCCTTTGCTACAGATACACCGTTTGTTAAATAAA